TGTGTAAATTCAAGAGTACATTTGAATAGTAATGTACAAGAAGCTGCCTGCAGTTCAGCCAGTACAAAAGCAGTATAAATTGTAACATTAACATGTAAAATGAAGAAGAGAAAGACCAGATGGGTAAGCTAACCAGTGATAATTTGTACATGAGAATTAAAATTAAAATCATTCACTATGGCAAGATTTTGTGGAATTGAAAATGTGGTACCTTTTCTTTAAAAATAGCACAGAAAGAACTCCAGATTTACTATCAATAGCAGGTAAATTGACAGAATAATTGAAAATAAAATTAAAGTCCTGTAGGAAACATGGTAAGATACGCAGAAGATTGTCTGGAGAACAAAGTGGAATGGAAATCAATGAATCAGCAGTGGAAGGAGAAATGTGAGAAATGCTTTCAGGGGAAGGCTGGTTACAGTCAGTGTAGGCACATCGCTACAACGAAACCTGGGTAAGAGCACCACATTCTTGAGGCTACCAGTGACACGCAGGTGACACCAACGACATTTTCTAATCGGTGTACGTGGTGCATTTTTCCTACTTGTCTGGAAGTGCTACGTATCAGGGAATGCTCACATCATCATGCTGCATGACAGTTAAAAAAAATCCCACACCCCCAAGGCATAGCACAGGTAAAAGCCACATAAAACTCTGCCTCCTTTAGTTAGCTCTATTAAAATTTTAGAATTAAAAAAGATCAATAAAAGGCAATGTCACATAGTTTAAGAACCATCACGCATCTTTAAAAAAAAATGTCATCAGGCAGTCATAACTGAATAGAGACATCAGCAGTGAATTTTATAGAATCATAGAATAGTTAAAGACCATCTAGTTCCAAACCCCCTGCTATGGGCAGGGACACCCCCCACTAGACCAGGATGCTAATCTGCATTTCTGCAGATTACTGCAAGGATGAGAACACCACTCAATGACCAAAAGACCAGGGACAGCCCAGTCTTACATACAAAAATATGTTTTAACACATGGAGAATGAGAAAGGGGAAGATGCATCTGCAGAGTGGGCGATTCTGAAAGGAACACGGCAGGAGCCTGCATTGCCTGAGCAAGCTGCTGTGAACAGCACTAATGAGATGTAAAACTAGCAGAGTAATGACTTCTGATCTCTACTGCCAGCTTTATTTTTATCCAAGACTTCAAAACTAAATGCATAAACAACCTGTAAAGAACAACCCTCCTTCCCTGCACCAAGATAGGCATTTTGAACACCATGCTATAGTTAGCTACTCCCTTGCTCATTTTATTTCTGGTTCTCCTTTTGCATGACATCTCCGATGGAGGTGAAGGGGGACTTTTTACAAGGGCCTGTAGTGACAGGACAAGGGCTAATGGGTTTAAATGAAAAGTGGGGAGATTTAGATCGGTTATCAGGAAAAGTTCTTCACAGCGGGGGCGGTGAGGCACTGGAACAGGTTGCCCAGAGAAGCCGTGGATGCCCCATCCCTGGAAGTGTTCAAGGCCAGGCTGGATGAGGCTTTGAGCAACCTGGTCTAGTGGAAGGTGTCCCTGCCCATGGCAGGGGGGGTGGAACTAGATGGTCTGTAAGGTCCCTTCCAACCCAAACCATTCTATGATTCCCTACTGCATCTTCTTCCCAGCATTCAGTTTGGGGGTTAACAGAGTCTTCTGGAAATTTGGGTATGTGACACTGTATCCTGTCACAGAAGCAAACACATCATCCACATCTCTTACCTCCTGTTGAGACCTTTAACCAGAAACTATTTATTCAAAAGGTGACCGTCATGTTTTCTGTGCCCCAGATCAAAAGAACGATCCTGGAAAAAAACCCGTGCAATTACGTACATGCAGGCTCTGAGTCATGAGCAGATGGCGCTAACTACCTGGTGTCCTGACTACACCGCTACAGCGCTGGAAAGGGACTGGATTTCACACCCTTCCCCAGGGATAACATTTCCTACTGCTAGCTCCGGGCTGCTCACTGCCCAGAATAACCTGGTTTTCAGGGCATCAGTTGAAACGGTTCAACTCCTCCTATATGCAGTGACAGAGATCTCTGCCAGCTTTGGCCCTGGAGTAGTTTTTAGGAGGCGTTTTAGATAAAGGCAAATGACAGGAATTATTACACAGGCAAATGTGTGCACTTTAATGGCTTTTGACATAAGTGAGACTAGAATATCTCATCGTTCTGAACTGTTAGAGGTTTAATTGTACTTCTTGCTGGAGAGAACAGAAATGGAACACATTTCTTTTGGATTTTATACCAAAAAAGTGGAAGTATTTTATATAATCCCACACAGGACTAGATCTATTAAAATGAACAGATCTTTAATTAAAGCAATTATTTACTACTGCAGGGATGGCTGAAAATGGATCTCCTCTAAATTTAGCTGTTTGCAGAGTGATTACACTTGAATTAAGACTAAATAAAAAAGAGCTGTTTCACTAATATCACTGGGATACTTTTAAAATTATAGAAACTATGTATCCTACCTGTTTCATTTTGGTTTTGAAGGCATACCGTGAAAAATTATTCTTTTGAACTTTACCTTTTTCCAGTCGTTACTGACACTGACAATCTACATGTATTTGCGTAACTAAATGTACAAGTATTACAGGATCGGTTTCAAAGGCATGCCCCATCAAATCTGTAAACTCATAGCCAAGAACCATTTTCATGGGATGGTGCAGTGTTTGGCAACGGTGCCCCGATTCCCTAATATGGAACTGGAAGGAAGTACTAAAACACCAAACCTCTACGCTTGGTATCACTATCAGGAAGACAGACTGAACTTGCTACTTCATAAAACAGAGGCAAACTCCACTTCTCCTACTCTATAAAACAAGAAACCAAAGAAGCGAAGCTTGATTCCACAATGACTCCCTCCCCCCTCCAAAACACCCATGCAGGCACTGGCATTAATACTTAACAAGCAATAACCTCATCTTCCGTTTCAATACTCTTACTTTGCTGACCCATTCCTAGAAATACTGTAGTACTGTTTGTCCAATGGCAAATGGCTGCTGACTACAAATCTTACAGGCTCTTGCTCTCTGGGGCCATATACATAGAAAGGCGGAATTTTAAAGGTCAGAAAGATCTTTCCCCAAAAACGTAATCACAGATCCATCCCCAGTCTAGAATTTCCTCCACCTTCGGTGGTATGTATAAGCTGCACTCGTCATTGTACCAAGGTCTCTGAGGTACAGACAGAACAAGTCACATTAAATTGTGACCCCTACTTCCTCTGAACAAAGAATCACTCCACTTACTCCTGAAGGAGTTTTTCTGATGATGGGTAACTTACTTTCTCTAAGTTGTTGCCTGTGCAGAAAGCCATCTTACTGCAAAATCGTCTTCTCTGCAGTCCGTTTCTGCTCCAGCTCAACTAAGGAAGAGCAGCAGCTTGGTGATCACAAAGGTTTGTCCATCTCATAAGGGTGCTGACAGAACCATGAGTGTCACAACTCTCTCCCTGCAATCCACCACAACCACTTCAGAAGACTGCCACGGAGCTGGGGAAGGTGACATTCTCTGTGACTACTCTTACCAGGACCTTGGCACAGCAAAAGCTAAGTACGGCATAGATATAAAAGGTGCTATGATGAATATCACTTCTAAAAACCAGAACAGTCATTAACTACTATAACTTCAAGGTATCTCTTAACAAGCTTCTAGTAAAGAAGGTGCTGTTGGTCAACACTGCCTGCCCTTCCACTGAAGGAAACACTGCTGGCACATTTAGTTCGAAACAGGTCTCAAAACATACAGTAGCAACCACTGAGGCGACTTGTTAGTAATCTTAATTCTTTTCCCTCATTACTTTCACTAACAGGCCTTTGCAACTCCATCATTATTCAAGTCAACATAACTCAGGCTCAGCCAACCCTACAGCACAGCTACAGCTTTCATGTGAGCTTTCTCCCATCCCACTTGGGAAACACAGCAAAAGTGCTGTTACAGAGAACACTGGTGGAAGAGATTAGCTTTGCCAGTTCTAGTGCAAAATACTTTCTAACTTCGCCACACTTGAAAGTACTTCACACAACTCCATCAGCAGCTGTTTTTCACACTAAGCTTTTGCTTGCCTTGTTTCCTAGCAATGTAAAGCTGGACACCCAACTTCTCTCTACTTTCCCACTGGGTTTCACTTGATATCAGACACATACAGCAAACAAGACTTTTAATATTTTTTAATTCACAGCATTAATTGCCGAGTTATGCCTTACTGTTGGTACACAGTAAATACATTCATCTGAACAACTCAGTATGAAAAAAAATGCAGTTAAAACATTAAAAATACCGCTTTACACTGTGCGAAACAGAACCTTCAGCGTTCATGACATTGGCTGCAGCCAGGCACAGAGGAAGACTGTTTCCTTATAGTCTACCAACGCATTTGTTCCTGTACCCCTCCATCTGAAGTTGCCTGTAACAGTAGATTTTAGGCAAATGCTTCTGCTGAATTAAGAAGATTTAATAACCCTCAGCTTGGTCTTTAGCACTTGTATTTCCAGAAGAGGATGTTTTCCTGTTCTGTTCATTACACCAAGAATGGCTGTTTTTGGAAGATTTACTGAACCAAGTGTTTCAGTAACATTTAAAAAACTGAAGATGTTTCTGAAGGGGAGTTATACTCTACCAGTGCATGCAGCTGTCAAGGTCTGGATAAATTAGGCAACATGCTTCTCCTAGATAAAAGAAAAGTGTCTGGGCACAACTGTCATTTCACAAATAAGTATTTAAGTCAGATGAAATGCACTGTTATTGCAAGCTTTACACAGATTAATGTATACCGCAACACCTAGCACTGATTAAATTTAGAAAAATATGATCTTGAGTTTGGGGATTTTTTTTTTTTTAGCCTTTGTTGTTTTGGTATTTAAAAATCTTTGATGTAACGTAAGATGCCAAAAATCACCCTGCTTTTTATGCTGGAAGAGTTGGGCTGTCAAAGCTATTGTGCTGTTGACATTTACTCATTTGATTTTTTTTTTTTTAACAATGAAGAGGCAGGAAATGTTTTTTGGTTTTTTGACTTTTTTTAATTTTATGATCAAGAATGACTGAACATTATAGTCATTTAAATCAACCCAATTACAGTTTCCATTAAATTAATGGCTGCCAAACAAGTGTGTACTCCAGTGACCTACCGTAAGCAATGTTATCTGATGGGTGAGATAGATTTTAAGGTTAGACACGGTACATGTAAAAATAGAAAGTTTAAAAACCAATCTCACAGACATTTCCATTGCCATCTCCTTTGTGAAATAAATAAGGCAGCAGATAACTTTTACTTTGAAGTGGCATCTTTGAGGTATGCTATTAAGTCTGCTCTCTCAGACTTCTTCTTAATACCCGCAAAAATCATCTTTGTTCCTGGGATATACTTCTTTGGATTTTCCAAATACTCCATCAGAGTATCCTCACCCCAGGTGATACCTAGAGAGAAGGAAAAAAGATAGTGACTTCAAAAAGAACAAACACATTTATATTCTTGTCCTCCGTATTATTTTACTTTTTGGCAGATTTCAGTACTTCCAGAACTGTCACAGAGAACTGAGTATTTTCACCCCTAGTAGCTCAGAAGAGAGCCTTTAAGTTTACCTTTATTCTTATTAGCATCCGTGTAAGAGAAGCCCTCAGCTTGTCCAGTCTTGCGTCCAAAAAGGCCATTCAGGTTGGGTCCAGTCTTGTGCTTGCCTCCCTTTTCAACTGTATGGCACTGGGAACATTTCTGGACAAAGATCTTCTTGCCTTTCTCAATATCTCCCATTTTCAGCACTAGACCAAGAACATGCACAGAGGTCAGTACTGCAATTTCAAGGTCACCTATTCAATGGAAACTTTAAAACATTCTGTTGGTTTACAAAACCGTATCTATGGCCCACCAGTCTACTAATTCTCCAGCACACTTTCTATCCATAAGCTACAGATCCTGGGTTTGAAGATTTATGTAACCTAATGATTCTATACTAAAAGTATCAAGATGATACACATGCTTAAAGATCAAGAAAAACCTTCCCCCAGCCAAAGTGCTTGCCCCACTGCATTTAAACAGTATAGAAATAGTTTTTTAAAGAGTAATTTGAACACGAATTCCATATACAGCTTGTATATCTATAACAATAAAGCTTCCTAGTCAGGAATAATCTTGTGTAAAGGGGACAGGATTGTCTGCACGTTTTCCCGTTTCAGCTGGAAAAGCTTACGAGCACACCACCCGGAAAGGAGCCGAGGGCTGCAGGCACAGCGGCCTAGGCCACTACTCTGTTACCACAGGCCGGGACGCCTCCCGAGCACCCCGCCGGCAACAACGCTACTTGCACGCTGTGTGGCGACAGCGCCCAAGGGCGACCGCACCTCCCGGCTCCAGCTCTACCTCCGCGGAGGCTGACCTTGAGGCGAGGAGCTGGCTTTCGGCGCGGGGGGACTATCCACGCAAGCGGGGGGACCCTAACACAAGCGCAGAGCGGCGGCTGGACCACTCACCCCCAAGGGCGCGCGGGCC